CTCCAGGGCAAAGGGTTTTCCTGCCCACCCAGCAGAATTTCAGAATTGCTAGGAACTGGTGACTGCTGTGTGTGTTTCACTCTTTCATTTTCCAAATGTGAATTTTTATTGCAACTATCCTTCCCCTGTTCCACCATTCAGAGATTATTTTTTAGAATATAAATTGCTGGTCCATAAAATCCTCTCTCAGACCTAAGGGAAAATACTGCATCTGGCCCAGGGATCTTCAACTTTGAGCTGATTAGAATGATTGGATGCATTGCTAGGTTGTCTTCTCTGGGGAGAGAGTTAATGTTTGAAATAAAGAGTGAAATATCCACTTGGCGACAAAGGGTAGATAATTGCAGAGACTGCTATATGTTCACGAAAACAAATCCTCTTTTCTTCCTAGGCATAGAGACTATTTCTCAGATGTCCTTGTCAAGGCGAGAGAATGTGGGCAGATTTCACTCCTGATCCTTAACAAATTTTCATGTAATCTTCTACTTCCTCTCTCATATATTGCCTGTCTCTCATTAAGTATCTCCCATTTTCCGGTTAAATAGAAGGGACTCTGAGGACTTAGAGAAGATAGAGACACCAAATGAAAAAAACCTGGGTTCCTAAACGATGGAATGTAACAATCTTGAAAAGCCAGTCAGCTGCTGATTAGACGTAAAAGAGAAAGAAAGAAACTGCTCTTATGTAAAACCACTATGATTTCTGTGTTTTTCTGTTGTAGCAGAAGTTACATTGACTAGACATACATAAAAAAGTTCATGTTTGGTGGACTAGGTGAGGAGGAGTTCACAGGCCAGAGTGAAGTACCGCACAATAAATCACTAATAATGAATTCTGTGGCCTGGACTATGGTCACACCTGGGCTCCCTCAGGTGGCTATATTTAGGTGGTGGGTTGATTGGTGGATAGGTTTAGCTATGATGGTTGAGTTGATGGTGTGTCTCCATCTATGTTGTCTTTCATCCTCAAGGCACCTATATTGGGGCTTTCAGAACCTGGTGGTACCAGAGTTCCAAGAGGGTGAGAGGAAGTTGCAGGGACTCTTGAGACCTTGCTTGAAAATAGTGCAACATTATTTCTGATGCACTGTATTGGCCAAAGGAAATCAGGTAGTCTGGCCAGATTTGGGAAGTAGAGAAAAAGACTCTGCCTTTTTGATGAAGAATTTGAAGAATTTGTGACTATTTTTTATCATCTACGAATCCTTATAAAAGTACTCAGAATATAGTAAGTGCTCAATAAATGGTTGTTGAATTGCATGCATGAATGGAGAAAGTAGGTTGGAGTCCTGAAAAAGAAGATAACATATTGGCAATGCTGCTATTGAAAGTGGAAAAAGGAACCAATCATGGATAAGTAAAAGAATTGCTGAGCAACACGGATGGTCCAGCTGAGCTTGAAAATTGTAAATTTGTTTTTCCGCCAATTTTCTCCAATTGCATTTGGTAGTTTGGGAGCAAGCCCACAGAAACAGATGGTTGGGTTGATCCAGGTTAGGGATTAGTACTCTGCAAACTAGCAGTAGTGGGAGGTTGAGTCTGCCCAACTTGGTTCTGTGCCTTCTCAGCTCTCTGCTCACTCAGGAGCTGGCCACTCCATGGAATACTCTGCATCCTAAATGTCCTCACTCATTCTGGTCCACTGTCTGATACCAAAACTCCATGTTGGATTACAAAGTAAGTTAATTGAGATTGTGAGCTAGGTGGTTCAGGCCTGAAGTGAAGTACAGATAAACACACACACATACGCACACAGACACACATGCGCGCACACGCACACACACTCTCTTAGGAATTCCATTTGCATTTCTTGGAGGACATATGGGGATCTGATTTTTGCATTTTTTTCTTTCCTTTTCAATTCTCCAGGCTACTGCTGGAGCCTTGTACTTCCCACCCTACCATTCCCTGCTATCAATCCAGCCCTCAAGAAGAGCAGTCCTATTCATAATGCTCCTACTAATTTTCCCCAGTTCTTTCTCCTGGCTCGTTATACACTTCCTTTCATTCTGTATCATAAAAGTCTTAAGACTGACTGGCAGAGTCAGGTTTGTCTCCAAAGGTGGGGAAGAGGGTGAAAAGGGCAAATGTGAGAGTTAGCTGAAAAATTGACAGTTACCAGGTCTTTTTGGCAACTAAGGGAGTGCTGAAAACCATGACTACTTCTACCTTATTTTTCTAGATTTTTACCACTCAGACTAATTTTATCTTCTTTCACTGTACTTGATATTTTGAACCCATATTTACTTTCTTGGTCTTCCTTGCCCAAGATGAATGACCAATTTCCCTTTGTTCCATGGCTCATAAACAATTTCTGTTTTGCCTAGGATTCTTAGCCTCAGGGAAAGCCCTGTCTCTACACAATCATTTCCTCCTTTCCTAATCAGCATTCCTATGCAGGGGAAGACCGACAGGAGGAGGCAAGTAAACCAAAGAATCAAGATTTAGTGCTTGGATATAAGACAGTGAAACAGAGGAGGTCAAGGAATTGGGTGCTTAGATGATTTTTCAGTGTTGGTGGTGGAGCTGCCTAAGATGATGGGGGAGAATACAGAAGAGAATAACTATGATGTGGTTTGGCTGTGTGCCCACCCAAGTCTCATCTTAAATTATAGCTACCATAATCCCCATATGTCATGGGAGAGACCCAGTGGGACGTAACTGAATCACGAAGGCAGGTTTTTCCTGTACTGTTCTTGTGATAGTGAACAAGTCTCTTGAGATCTGATGGTTTTATAAAGGGAACCTGTTCTCTTGCCTGCCACCATGGAAGGTGTGCTTTTGTTCCTCTTTCACCTTTTGCCATGATTGTGAGGCCTCCCTAGCCACATGGAACTGTGAGTCCATTACGCCTCTTTTTTTCTTAAGACTTTTTTCAGCGTCTTGGGTATGTCTTTATTGGCAGTGTGAAAATGGACTACTACAACTATAAACCAATTAACAATGTCCTGAGAGAATATATGGGGCTGCACTGAATGTTGGTAGATGGTGGATAGAGTGGATGGGAGCAATGCCGATGAATGGAGAGTTTCAAGGAAGTGACAAGACAGTGGATCAGAGGCATGGAAACAGCTGTGGGGAGGCAGGAGGAGCATGCTGTGCCTCCTTGATGTGACAGGCTGAGTGGATACTAGGGAGCAGCACTGCTCCCTAGTATCTGAAGTTACAGCATCTGCAAAAAGTTAAGTGGAGTCAGTAATCTCAGTTTGTACTTTCAGGCTGTAGATTTCAGGATAACAGGAAAAAGATATCCTCAGTTGTAAGAAAGTTACCTTGTTAGCTGTTTTGAGACTCCAAAGTGAATCTTTTAGTATAATTCCTTAATTCATTCTTGTATCAAATAGTTATTGGCCAGGAACAAAACAGAGTGCTTAAATATAAGGATGAATAAAATAAGATCTGCCATTAAGCAGCTCACAGTCTTTTTAAGGCAAAAGGAAAACAGACAGGTAACTTAAAACAAATTGTAAGTTGTATGATAGCAGTGAGCACGGTTCTATGGAACACCGAGTAGAGTCGTCCTACCAGAATAGGGGGTAGGAGGTAGACTCAGAAAAGGAAGCCTGAGCTGTGTCTTTAAATATGAGTTAATGAGGTAAAAGAGTGTGTGTGTGTGTGTGTGTGTGTGTGTGTGTGTGTGTGTGTTAGAGAGAGGCAGGAGTTTGAGGTCCAGGAGCAAAAGGGATTATATTAACTATATTTCAATTTCACTCCATTCTGGGTAGTCACAGTCTAAATAGTTGAATCAGGTTTAATTGAATCTCCAATGTGAAGAGACTTTCCATTATTTCCTTTCATAAGAGAAGTGGAGCCAAGCCGAAGCTCACACTTTGGCAACTGATCCTGTGTAAACTGTATTGTTCCCTGAACTAACCCTCTCTTGAGGCTGGGAAGACACTTATGCTGTTGACTCGATTTGATCAAAGGACAGCTTGAAGGAAACCAGTATCAACAAACCTCTCTTTGGGCTGTCGGAAATAGTGTTTCCATTTTATTTATTTGAAAGAATCTTGTGTCTTAAATCTTGGGACAGGCCATTTGAGAGTTGTCTGATGATTGTGTAAGTTGTTTTAAAAAATCTCACAAGAAATGATTGGTTTACCTTTCTATTTTAGTGCTAACCAGATATGGATGGCAAATAATAGCACCACTGTATAGTAGACATTTTGGTGGGAAAATGCTGTTCACAAGAGGAACCTTGGCTGGTCATGATATTCTGGTCAACTTGGATTGTTAAGAAGATAACTTATGTGACTAGCACATTCCTGAAACTGCAAGACTCTTCTTCCCACATTCAAACTTCCAGAATGAATTTTGTTGCTTGCAGTGGGTAGCACTGCTTGTGCTCAGTTACTTATGGCCCCCCAAAATAGAGAACAGGAGATAACAAATGCTTTATCTGATGTTCACTATAATTTGAGCATTTGCAAAGTAGTTCTAGTTCTTGGATATAGCAGTTGATGGGACACTAGAGTTGAATTCGTGACATCATAACTACTTAGAAAGAATGAAAGAGGGGAAATGGATAAGAATTTTATAAGGAACCAGTTTCTCAGTTGTCAGTATTTTCCTTTATAAAGATAAAAAAATGACCATTCAACTTTGAAAAGCAAGTGTTTTATCTTTCATGGGCTTGGTTAGGTGAGTAGAGAGAATTCCAGTTGAAATGGACAGACAGAGAGCCAAGGAATTTTAATAAAAATCTGGGATCTTTTCATGTGAAGCAGATCTGAGTCAAGGTAGTTCTGCCCTCAAGAATCTGTTACAGTAATCATTTCCTTTGGGACTTAAAAAAAGGACTATTGACATTTGCTCCCTCTAGGTACCTATAAAAGAGTTCCAGCTACATAGAAGGGCTGTGATACTTTCAGTTAAGCAAGGAAGAAGTTGTAAATGTGGGCAATATAATGTTATAGGTTTCACTAAAATTTCTATTATTTATTCCATCAGCTGGTTGCTTTTTAGTGAGCACCTATTATGTGCTTTCTTGTTAGGAGCAGAGGATACAGTAATGAAGAATAAAGTATCTACTTTCTTGAAAATCTGAGTCTATCAGGGAGAGAGATAGCACTCCAATAGTGGATTAATTGTGATTATGAACATCTACTATAATGGGTAAGTAAAGGATCGAGGAGCCTGTGCAATAGGGTAAAGGAAAAGTAGGGGATGGGATGATCTGAGAAGTAAGCACCTAAGTAAAGATATTTGTACATGCAAAGGGCCTGGGGTAGAAAGGGATTTAGTCCTTTGGTAGAATTGAATGAAGGCTTGTGTGGCTGGAGAAAGGGAGAGAAGAAGCATGGGAGAGATTGGCAAAATGTCAGTTTGGAGAGATATGGAGGGACAAAATCATGCTGGGCATCACAATCTTGCAGAAAGGAAGGGGGAGTAGTTGAAAGGCTTTAAGCAGGCGAGCAACATGATAAACAGTACAGCTTAATGGGATTTTAATAAAGCATTATATTGTTGATTATAGAAGTAAGTTTCCTTTGGGGCTTTTTTCTTTAATTGAAGACATAGTTTTTCAATTTAATTTTTATTCTAATTTCTTTTGCAGATAGTAGAGAAGATAATTTGTATGTAATTGAAGGACCACATTCTTCTTAGCTTGAAGTCATTGTGATAGGTAAGAATTTATAAATAGCAAATCTGCTGGATTTAGTTATCTGTCATATTGGAATTTAGAAGTGGCAGATCTCTTATCAGTGACCAAATACCAAATAACGGAAATGTAACCTGATAATTTTTAAATCAAAAATACCCTGATATGTAACCATGATATAACTGAGGTGAATATCAAAATGTGTTTGCCATGTAGAAAAATAAAAAACATAACAGATTTTTCAGTTCTAAAAGAGAAGTGAAATTTCTAAAGGCTAATAATGTTACCTGAACACCTGGTTCAGACAACTAGCAATGGGGACTCAATGCAAATGAACAGGGAGGTCTTATAGAAAGGGGCTTCATACTAGATTAAACAAAGGCAGTCCAAACTCTAATATATATAAAGGATTTGTTGTCGCAATGGTAGTAACACCCAAGTCGAAATTTTCTAGGACAGTCTTGTTATAAAATACTCTCTTACATTTTAGATACATTGATGCTTTCTAGGCAACCACGTCTCCCTCTTGTTTTAAGAAATAGGTCTAGTGGAATCAGGATTCTAATTTCTTCTTTGCTGTCACTACCTAGAATCTCCTCCTCCCCTCCTCCTTATCTTCCTCCTCCTCCTCCTCTTGCTCCTTCTCCTCCTCCTTCTTCTCTCCTTCCTTCTATCTCATCTTGATAACCTGAACTCCAATCCCCAGGATGCCAATCCATTAGTTAAATGTCCAGTACAACTTGCCTTTGTTTTGTCACTGAAGATAACTCTTTCCTTTAGTCTTTTAGCCTTTCCAAGTCTGGCTATACAAATTCATGAATGGCTATGAGTGTGTCAGAGGGATTAAAAACACCAAAAAAGATGAAGACTATAGGTTGAAGGAATTTTATTCCTGGGTTTCTTAATATTACTACTAGTTAAATATCTTAGAGAATGTCAGTCGTACCATGAATTTAATTTGGGGTTGCAAAAGAAAGTGGAAAATGATTCACCTGGGTTTCCTTTTGCGATGTTCCAGGGAGCAGATTCTGTTCATGAGGAGTAATAAGTGGGACAAGTCCTAAAGCGCTGAGAAGGAAGTGATGATGGTAGTGATCAAGTAGTCACCATTTTGGAAAGTGGATTATGTACCATCCGTATGCTTTTTTTTTTTTTTTTTTTTTTGAACGGAGTCTCGCTCTGTTGCCCAGGCTGGAGTGCAGTGGCGATATCAGCTCACTGCAAGCTCCCCTCCTGGTTACGCCATTCCCTGCCTCAGCCTCCGATAGCTGGACATAGGCCCTGCCACCTCGCCGGCTTTTTTTTTTTTTGTAGAGACGGGTTCATCGTTACCAGGATGGTTCGATCTCCTGACCTCGGATCCGCCCGTCTCGCCCCAAAGCTGGATACAGGCTTGACCCCCCCCCCCATCCGATGCTAAGCTTACAGACATACTCGTCTGATCTTCCAAACAACCAATCAATGCTGTTTTTATAGGTATTCTGATATTACTGATGAAAAAAATGAGGTTTAGAGAGGTTAAAGAAACTTTTTAAAAGTCATTTCACTTGTAAATGAAAGAAGTGGGATCCTATGTCTGTCTAACCTGACTCCAGAGTCTATACTGTGGACCACTAACTATCAAGGGGTTAACAGTGGAACTGATCTGTGGCCAAGGGATGTCTCTAGAGCTTGAATGTCCTTATTCCTTGGAGCAGCTTATTCATACTGCCCTAGCCTATTGTATCACTGTCTGTCCTTTTTCACTGAAGCTGAGCTTGCTGTGGTCTGGAAAAGCACAATGGTTTCTTTGGTGCAGCCTGTGGTTTTAGAGCTTGCAGTGAGAAAAGCATGCAGATAAAACATAGAGCATCCTACTGAGACACAAGTCCAAGCAATGCTGCCATAGAGAGCCAGAAAAGCAAAATGGTTCCTAACCCTGGCAGGAAATAGCATGGACAAGTAAAGAAACAGGTTTGGCAGACCCTAAGAGGGGAAAGCTGTATGCCAGCGCGGAATTCCCCCAGTGACTATCATCAATCCCCCTTTTGGTAGTATGTGCAAAGACTCATGAGCATCAGATGTATTCAACATGAACAGCACAGCCTTAAATGTTTCTTTCCACAAGGACCAGAAACTTTACTATGGTTTTTGCCTCACGACCTATTGTTAAATGAACTGATGTCTTTGAAGCACCTTTCAGTGCTTGAACAGTCAGAATTTTAATAATCAGGACGATAATCCCAGCATTTTGGAAGGCTGAGGCAGGGGGATCACTTGAGCCCAGGAATTCAATACCAACTGGGTAACATACCAAGTCTCCACCTCTACAAAAAATAAGAAAATTAGTCAGGTATGGTGGCTTGCACCTATAGTCCTAGCTATTTGGGAGGCTGAGACAGGAGGATCATTTGAGCCCGGGAGGTTGAGGCTGCTGTGAGCTATGATTACACCATTGTATGCCAGCCTGGGCATCAGAGTGAGACCCTGTATAAAAAAAAAGAGAGTTCTTTTCACTGATCGCTGATGATAAAACGTCATTTCTTCTAAAGATCAAAAGCTCCTGGTTTCACATTAAAACTGTGTCTGTATGTGCATGCAGTAGAATAAGAGACAACTAAAATGTTAATTCCTTCTCCTTTCAGCATCACATGGAGCCTACCTGGCATGTCATAAGCAGCAATTCTGAGGTTTCGAAAGAGCTTCTTGCTGAACTTCTTGTTCAGTTTGCCTCCACGCTTTCCCCTACCACCAGAAAATTTAAACAAAACAACCTGCTTTTGCCTGAATGACCTAGGTAACAACCTACTTTAGCTTGAGCTGCTTAGATATTTCAGCTAAAAATGGCTTATTTCCATGAGTCACCTGGATAATTGCATTACTCTGCTGGCCCACTTAGCTGGGTGGGCCAGCAGGTGTTAAGTGCAAGTGTCAACGAGTACTTCATTGTTTTCCACTCTATGGATAGTACTGTGACAGTTTCTTAGTGCCTGGAGAAGTACCTCTTGATTCAATTTCAGCCCTTGAGCTTCCTTCTTTTAGATGGATCATCCTTGCTATGTGACGAAATAGCCCCCTTCTATCTCCGTAGGGCAACTTTGTATCATGTATGTGGGTGTGTGTGTAGCTTTGTGGTTTTGAAGAAAAATTACTTCAACAAGTACTTCTTAAATACTTCCTGGCGGAGCGCTGTCTGTGGGAGATACAAAAGGAGATAAAGACAAGATATTTTCCTCAAGATACAACTGTTTAAGGACACTGGCATGGCCGGGCGCGGTGGCTCAAGCCTGTAATCCCAGCACTGGGAGGCCGAGACGGGTGGATCATGAGGTCAGGAGATCGAGACCATCCTGGCTAACACAGTGAAACCCCATCTCTACTAAAAAATACAAAAAACTAGCCGGGCGAGGTGGCGGGCGCCTGTAGTCCCAGCTACTCGGGAGGCTGAGGCAGGAGAATGGTGTAAACCCGGGAGGCGGAGCTTGCAGTGAGCTGAGATCCAGCCACTGCACTCCAGCCCGGGTGACAGAGCGAGACTCCGTCTCAAAAAAAAAAAAAAAAAAAGGGACACTGGCACATATGAACCATTAGAAGGTCCTTACATGTTTACTGTTGACCTGTTTGGAAGTGTAATCAGAGTTGAAGAGGCCAAAATATTTGGAGAAATCTGTGGGAGGGCTTACCCTCCATTTCTTGAGGTATAGATGTATTGTCATTTTTTTTTTTTTGAGTGGAGTTTTACTCTTGTTGCCCAGGCTGGAGTGCAGTGGTACAATCTTAGTTCACTGTAACCTCCACCTCCCAGGTTCAAGCGATTCTCCTGCCTCAGCCTCCTGAGTAGCTGGGATTACAGGCATGTGTCACCACACCCAGCTAATTTTTGTATTTTTGATAGAGATGGGGTTTCTCCATGTTGGTCAGGCTGGTCTCGAACTCCCGACCTAAGGTGATCCACTTGCCTTGGCCTCCCAAAGTGCTGGGATTACAGGCATGAGCCACCATGCCCGGCCACATTGTCTTTTTTTTTTTTTTTTTCTCCCTGCAAATGTATTATATGGTTTACTCTGACAACATATAACCTAATTTTCTAGAATGGCATCGCTGAAGAAAGATAGTTGTATGCCTCATTTAGAGGGTAACTCAGGGTTCGTGGTTCTCCAAAGGAAAGACGGCAGACAGTTTTGGCTACAAAAACACTTGAGGTATTTAGAAAAAAATCCACACTGTATACTTTACTTTTATGACCGAGTTTTTTAGATGCTTTTGAGAACACAAAATAAATAGAAAACACATACAGGAAAAGAAAAAAAAAAAAAACTTGCCTCATGTGGAACAATCAACATTGTAAAACTAAACTTTAATTTTTTGAAACCTGTTTATATGTAAAAAAAGATTAGTGCCCTAGCTTCAGTTTTAAATTTCATAAAATTTGATGTCATGAAATAAAAAGGCAACTTTCTCTGCTTTTTTATTTCCCTTTTCCCTGATTATAAAAGAACAGATTTTAAAATTAAGTGGAAAGACCAAATTTTTTTATTTTTATTTTTTGTTTTTAAGTAGATATTTGAACTTTGATGTAAGAGCTCACCACTTCTATGCTTACAGTGTTTAAATTCTCTGCCATGAAACTTTTAGGCTTGAAATAAATGTCACTAACATGATTTTGAAGGTCAGGCTGGTGAACCACCAAAAATGTCTGACAGCTCCAAAATAGAGTATTTACATCTGGCTCATGGCATCGTGCTCTTTGCTATGATGTAGTCGGGTTGAATAAGTGGAGCAGTGTGAACTGAACCTCCGTAGAACTTGACGTTTGACCCCAGAGGTCTATATGCATCATTTTATTCTCTATCCCCTCCTGCCTCCCTCCATGTGGGCAGAGGAGACATAAAAATCCACTGGCTTTCTGCAGGAACGCTTGGCCTGGTTTCCCTGTAATACCTGTTTATACATGAATCAACCCAAAATTAACTTCAGGGACAGCAGGATATGCCTGACCTTGTGAATTAAAATATGAAATGCACTAGAAATATGATTAACCAGATTTCTTGGTAAATGGGTTGTTCTGTTTAGCTGGAGTTCTGGTTGTTTAAGAATGAGTTCTATTGCTATTTTTATTTTCATACTTCTTATTTAATTGGCATTACAAAATGTTATTAGCTTTCTTATCATTGGAAACATGGTTATTAAATGCTACTTGATCTTTCTTGATGACTCTGATGTTATGACGTCCTTACATGATCATTCCAAACATCATTAATCTAAAGATCATAGTAGACATTAAGAAAAATGACAAGGTTGAGGACTAGGATTGAGGAAAATGGGTTGGGGATCGGAGGGCATGGGCAGAAGGTAGTTTACTTTTAGTTAACTGGGATTATACTGCAGAGGATGTTCCTGATAACTGATTTCAAAGCTTTCAGTGATGTGTCCTGTTTACATTTAAGCTAGATTCTAATAGAAAACCCTAAAGAATTTGTCATATTTTTGTATGAGATCACCTCTTAAAACAAGCAAAATAAATTCATTCCATTTCTAAATTCATTTGATAAAAGAAGAATACATGCAAACTAGGTGAAACAAGTTTGGAAAATAATCAATATTATGCCTGGGGCCTTTAAAGTACTGTTCTAAAAGTATAATATGCCACCATTTTTTAAAACTACATTTTTTGGGGTGCAAGCAAAAAAATGAAGGAATCTGAAGTCTGACTTACCCTCTTGTCACTAACCTTTGGTTTGTAGGTTGAGAGAAGCATTAAAATAAACCTACCTGCTGAACTGTATTCTTTCAGCAGCCAGAAATGGGAAATTTTAGGGAATAGCAAATAGTTGCAGGGCACTCTGAGAGATTACTTATAAATCCAGATATATGTCAGACTATTAGAATAATTGAAAGTCCAGTGAATCAGAGAGATAAAAGGAAAGTCTCTTGAACATGATGTATAACTCTATGCAGAGTTTTAAATGCCATTCAACAAGACATTCCAAAGTGTCTACTGTGAATGAACATTTAGAAGGACTATAATTTTTCTTTTTAATTGAGATACCTATCCGTGTCCTCAATAACACAACTATTCCTTTGGCCTGTTAATTATAAAAAATAGTCCCTACCTCTTCTGAATTCTGCATACTTTCTTTAAAGACACTGCAAAGCATGTGAAGCTCCTAAGATTTAATGCATTCTTTACCTTAAAGCAAGCACCGATTGGCGGCATGGAGTTCACACAGAGATAAAGAATGAGAAGGACCATGAGAAGTCATGTGACAAAGAGGTCAGAGCATTCAGTCCCAGAGAACTGGAATTGAAAATAAGTTCTGCCATTTTCCCACTATGTGACTTCGGGGCCAGTTACATAGTATTCGTGAATTTCAGTTTTCCTCTGATGCAAAATGAGGTTAATGGTAATTGTTTTAATGACTCAATTATAACCATATAATTATCTGTATATTTATGGCTCTATATATTTAAAATACCTTTTAAATACCTGGCACAGTATAAGTACCCAATGTTTCTCTTAATTTTGAGATAACAGGTTATAACAAATTTAAGATAACAGACTATAAACCTGAAGAAATCAGGTTTCCAAAAGACCGGTGATCCATCTGAAGTAGATGAGTAAACAGTGACATTCATGCACCCAGTTGCTAATTCATCCATCAGTCCTTGAATAAGGCACATGCTTACTGGCTTACTGAGATTTTTCCAGCGTCCAAAATAGACAGAAGCAAGACTTAACTTATGTTTTCTCACTCCTAGTCCAGTGCTTCTTCATGATATTCAAAACAAAAATCCTTAAGGCTGAGAAAAAATGAGACGGGCAAGTTTAGATATTTAGAATATTTTAGAATTTCATTTGAGATGAGAGGTGGAGAATTTTCTGATGGCATGTTCTGATAAAATAGGTGTGAATCAGAACTGTTATTTGTCAAGAAGGTAGATTTCCATTATAATCTCTGATACTATATGCCCATGAATGGTGGATCAGTTAAAGAAAATGTGGTGCATATATACCACGGAATACCACACAGGCATACAAAGAATGAGATCATGTCCTTTATAGCAACCTAGATGCAGCTGGAGGCTGTAATCCTAAGTGAATTAGTGTAGAAACGGAAATCCAAATACCACATGTTCTCACATGTAAGTGGGAGCTAAACAATGGGTACACAGAGACAGGAACAATAAACACTGGGAATTCCAAAAGAGTGGAGGGAAGGAGGAGGGAAAGGGTTGAAAAACTACCTGTTTGGTACTATGTTCACCACTTGGGCAATGGGTTGACTAGAAGCCCGAACCTCATGTAGAAGAAATAGTGAAAACAGGGCAAATCGACTGTGACTGGTAGGAGCTTATCATGTAGTTGGAATGAAACATTTGCCAAAGTAAATCCAAAACATCTGCAAAGCCGCCGATTAAGTACAAATTGATAAATCATTATGTATAAGGGTGATTCATAATCCTGGAGATAATAAAAATTAACTCTTACAGTTCATTTGTCCATTTTGTGCTGGGAAAGTCACTGAGGTTTCTGGACTCCTTTCAACTCATTTATAAATGGGTGAGACATGACCAAGCTTTATCACTTTTATATAAATCACTTTTATTATTTGAGACATACCTTTTAGGATTCTACTTTTAAATTCTATCATCACCACTTGTCTTCCTCTCACCTTCAGTTCCCAACACACACACACACAGACACACACACACACACCCCATATTTGAATATTACATGATGGGAGAAATGAACAACTATGTTAACCAATAGGTGAGTTATTGCAAGCTTTGCATAAACAAGAGTTGAATCCCAGTAGGTATTACAGGCTTCTCATCTACTATTTGATTCTCCCTTCTACCATCACATATAGAATAAGCAAAGGTCTTCTAATGAAAAGTTGCGAATATGTGGCAAAATAGAAAAGATGGAACACTGATGAAGAGTATTCTAATATTAGTTTTGCTGAAGTGCTGATGTGATTAGAGGCAATAATTAGTTTGAATTTTCATAGGTAAAATGAGCCA